AGATAAATAAAAGCTATAAATATAACTATAACGTTAATTATAATAGGAGTAATAGCCTTTAATTACCTAAGTAAGTAAAAAGACTATAAAGTCTTTATAATATTATTAAGAGATATTAAAAAGACCCTAAAACCTAAAGAAACTATAGATCTCTAGACTAGACTTCTTAAGTAATATTACAAGTTCTTATTTTTATTTAATAAAGCTGCTACTAACAAGCTTCTATTATATTACCCTAGAGTAGATTACAAAATTAAGTTATTACTAAATACTAAACTACTATCTAGAGCCTTATATAATATGTCTAGAAATAAATTAGAGGTTCTAGACAAAACATTAAAGAATTATCTATTAAAGAACTTTATTTATATATCTAAGTCCTTTGCTGCTACTCTAATTCTATTTATTAAGAAATCTAAAGGAGGTCTATAATTTTATATAGATTATTAAGGTTTAAATACTATTATAATCAAGAATAAATACCTAATTTCCCTAATTTAAGAGACTCTAGATAAGTTCTATAAAGCTATATAGTATATTAAGTTAGATATTATTACTGCCTTTTACAGAATCAGAATAGCCTATAAAGATAAATAGAAAATAGCCTTCTATATATATATAAGCTTATATAAATAGAATATAGTTCTCTTTAGCCTTTATAACGCTCTAGCCTTCTTTTAGAACTATATTAATAATGCCTTAAGAAAGAATATCCTAGACTAATTTGTCTTAGTATATCTTAATAATATCCTAATCTTTAATAACTTACTAAAAGAGTATTACTAATATATAAAGATAATACTAGGCAGATTAGCTATTACTAGACTATAACTTAATATAGGAAAATGCGAATTTAAAGTTTATAAGACAAAATACTTAGGAATAATTATTTAAAGCTATTTAAAAGATAATAAATCTAGACAAATATATATAGACCTAGAAAAGATAACTATAATTCAAGATTAGAAGAAGCCTAATAATATAAAAGACATATAAAGTTTTATAGGATTTACAAATTTTTATTATTAATTTATTAAAGGATTCTTAAAGATAACCTTACCCCTGACTAAGCTTACTTAAAAAAACGTCTTTTTTAACTAGAGAAAAAAAGCTAAAAAAGTGTTTTAGACACTAAAAGACATGTTTATAAGCTCTCTAATCCTATAGTACTTTGACTCTGACTTACTTTATACTATAGAGACTAACGCCTTAAATAACATGTACAGAAGAGTCTTATTTTAACCTAATAATAAGGGGATCCTATAACCTATAACCTACTTCTTAAAACGATATACCCTAGCTAAAAGTAATTATAAGATTTATAATAAGGAACTAATAACTATAGTTTGTGCTTTTAAAGAATAGCGCCTAAAGCTAAAAGAGTCTTAAGAACCTATATAAGTTATAATAGATTATAAGAACCTTAAATACTTTATATTGTCTAAATAATTATTCTGCTAACAAGCCTATTAAAGCAAGTTCTTCTCTTATTTTAACTTTGTAATTAAGTACCGCCCTAGGTTATAGTGCTATATAGATAGATTATCCTGCAGATTATAAAATAAAGCTACTAACACTAATAATAATAGAAAGAAGTTCTTTAAGCAAGTAGTCTTAAAACTAAAGAATCTAGACCCTTAGATATTAGAATCTATTCTTATCTATTTAATTAGACTTACAAGAATTCTATGCTACTATAAGAGATTACCTAAGTTAAGAAAAGGCCCTAACACAATTATAAATAATATTATAGCCCTATATATAATAAATTTACAGCCCTAAATCATTTTAAAAAAAGATATTATTATTATATACTAGAATCTTGCTTAAGAAGATCCTTATTAAGTAACCTACTAATAAGTCTTGTCTAAGATCAAAAAGTCTTTTATAATTATATTAGCCGACTATTTAGTAAAGAATAATAAATTATATTACTAATAATGCTTATAGATTCTTAAAAACAAAGAACTAAGACTCTGCTATATTAATAAATGCTATAAATAGCTAATGACTAGTTACCTAGGCCTTATAAAGATCTATAAGATTCTGTAATAATAATTCTATTAACTAAAAATAATAGACTTAGTAAAGAAACAGCTAACCAAATATCTTATATACTATTATACAAAACTCTTTTATAAGTACTAAGATTAACTATAAATACTAGAGCCACCTAAGAAATAATAGCAATTTGATTCTAGCGTTATTGAACGCTTTTTCACTGAATTCGAACAGCTTCGCAGTTAATACGTAGTCGAGCCGCAAGATCTCTATAATATGGACGAAACAGGGTTTCAGATAGGGCAAATAGCGTCAAAATATATTGTTTTTGATCCTGTGATAGGTCGCCCAGTTGCTCTAGCGTCAGATAACACTTAATAGGTCTCTATTATTGAGTGTATAAATACAGAAAAGACTATTAAGCCCTATCTTATCTTTACTAGTAAGAATTCTGAACATTATATATTTCTAGAGTATAAGAAGCTTCCTGACGTTATATAAGCCTTTTCTCTTAAGGGATAGACTAATAAATATTCATTCTAATTATATCAAATAGCAAGCATATCATTCTGATACTTGATTGAGTGTATAAATACAGAAAAGGCTATTAAGCCCTATCTTATCTTTACTAGCAAGAATCCTGAACATTATATGTTTCTAAAGCATGAGGAGCTTCTTAACATTATATGGGCCTTTTCTCCTAAGGGATAGACTGACGAAGAGCTAGCTGTTGATTAGCTGCGTCAAATATTCATTCTAATTATATCAAATAGCAAGCATATCATTCTGATACTTGATAGCTAAAAGAGTTATATTACTAGCGAATTTCAGTATTATTACCTCGAAAACAACATCCACCCTCTCTATTTGCCAGCGCACGCTACCCACAAACTTTAACCTCTTGATGTAGGTCCATTTTCGCCACTTTCAAGTGCGTACAGCCGCGCAGTCGAAGAATACGCTCCAACCGGCATAGCAGTACTTAATCAAAGTATTTTTACGGTACTTTATGTACAGGCTCGTCAGGAGGCATTTACTAAGCGAAATATTCGCGCAGGATAGAGAAGAGCCGGCATTTGGCCAATAAATAAGCAAAAATTGCTAGAGGATCCTGAAATTCAAAATTTTGGCCGCACAACGCCTGAGTATCAACCTGCGCCTATTAAAGAGGGTCCTAACCATCTCTATAGCACTCCGAAGAAGCTGGATAAAATTCGAGAGCTTCAAGCGCAAATTAAGGCCAAAGTTACTCCTCGAACTCAACGCTCTGTACGCAAGCTCAGCCACGCAGCTATTCAAGAGCATGCTGGCGCTCAATTGCTTCAAAATGAGCTCAACAACGTACGAAAGCAACTACACCATCAAGAGGTCCAAAAGCGCTCAAAACGCATGGTAAAAGAGAGGGTGCAGCGTTCGTGGAATCTTGAGGAGGTCAGGGCTGCCAAAGAGGGCAGGGCGCCCTCTAGAGTGCAAATTACGCACCGTTCGGAGGATTCGCTGCGCATCAGAATTCTCTCAGATAGGCTCAAATAGGAAGTATCTCCAGCTTCAATTTTTGGCCCAATTAAGTCATGGTAATGTGGCCTATGGAGTGGTAAAGTACTGCGTAAAGTGTGTGCAAATTGGCCCGGTAAGTGGGGTGGCCCGCTAAGTGGTAGTGTACGTTAGCTGTTTCCAGAGATCAATCTAGTTTTATCCTAGCCATGTACAGCTCGTCCTCCTTAGAGAAAGTGTTCCCTAGAAATTCGCCACAGACTTTTCATACTCGTCTTACCCCTTATGCTCACTCTGTTGTTTTGTGAATTCCAGCAGATCGAATCCCGTTGACTGTACATGAGCAAGTGTTATATAATCTGCCGAAACGCTTGAGCTTCGCTAGGTATATCACATATGTCACTGCATACCCACTGCTAACTCTTCAAGCTTCCTCAACACCTCCTCGATCACTGTCGAGCTCCCAATCTGCCCATCCCCTTCCACATCCAAGCAGAAAAGAACCGTCTCGCAATACTTTGTTCCCATCACTATCGGAAGCCTTTCCTTGGCCATTTTCTTTAGATAATCTTTTACCTTCGCCGCCGCAACCTCCTCGTCAGTTGAGTCTTTCAACTTCGCAAGCCCAGTGCTAAGAAGTGGTCTCCACACACCTAGCTCCAGCAGCACCACGCCTAGGCTGTAGATGTCGTGGTTCATCGTGTAACGTTCCTGCGGGTGCAACCCTTGCCGCTTCGGGTGACGGTAGATGTTATAACGCCAGTGCGCATCTCCTCTCTGGTCGCTGGTAGCCTTGTCTTGTCTTGCCGTCTCAAACCCGCACAAGAATGGCTCGCCGAGCCGCTCTGGAAAACATCCCGTTTCTGGGGTGGTGGCAGCAGCCTTTTGGGATAAGACAACGATGTTGGACGTCCGGATCGACTTGTGCACATACTGCATCATGTGCACGTACATGACCGCGCAGGCAATCTTCCGCGCGAACTCGAAGCGCTCCTCGAGGGCGTGCTGAGGCGGGAGGAGCTCCGTCTGAGAAGAGCCGGTGCGGGGGGATGGGCGGGTGGTGCAGATGAGATCAAGGAGGGTGCAGGGTGATATGGCGTCGGCGGATACGGAAACATTTTTCGGGAACTGGTACAGGTATGCGAAGCAAGAGCGAGAGCTCTGGTGGAAGTATCCAGCTGCTCTGAGGATCCGGCAAAGTGGCGCTTCAGCACAGCTGAGTAATTTCACCAGCTTGGTCACTTCGGATTCGAAGATGGACAGTTCCTGCCCGGCGAGGGTGCTCTTGTGGGGTTTGAACTCGACGAGTATCGTCTCCTGGCCAAGAGTCGCGAACATTCGGGATGCACTAGGTCCGGAACGAAGGACAACTTCCCTTTCGGCCTTTCTTAATCCAGTATCTGGTATATACTGGCTTTGCATGGTCAACTTTGCGAAAGTGTCTCTCAGGACGCGGAGACCCGAGGATGATAACGAGTCAACCCCATCGCTAGATGTCAACAACCTGTCTTTCAGCGGAGGTGGCAGCAACCCAAGCCGTATGTGGTATCTCTCCGTCCACTGGAATAGCTGCATGGCCACCTTCTGCAACTCCGCTTGTTTGTACAAAAACCCGAGGATCTTATCCGCCACCTTCCGCGTCGGTGATGCTGTTAGGTGCGCCATCTGCCTGCGTACGATCCAGTTTTGTATGCTGACGAGGAGCGGTTGCAGCGTGAGACAGATCTCGTTCAGCAGCAGCTTGTCAGATATGAGGATCCTGTCGTCTTTGGCAGCTGAGTCGAAGATGCGCGCGAAGTCGTGGAGGATGGCGATATCGTTCCTGATTGAGAGGATTACGCTGTCGGCTTCTTGGTCTTGGAGTTGGTCCTGAAAGAAGCCATGGACGGCAATGGCTAATGCTACGCAGCCAGCAATTGCGGAGAATATCTCGAGTCCAGACGCCATGACGGCGACCTTGTTCTCTCACCCTCGCGGTTGATGATCGTCGACGTAGACAGTGCAAGACGGCAAAATCGTTGCCAGGCCTGCTAGTTTTGGCGATTGCTTGTACAAATTCATGATGAATTATCACCACTGTTGCTGGCTCTGTTGATTGCTTTGAACAAGTCATCAGCATAAGTAGGTGGCAGCCTTGCAGGGATGCTACCGAGGCTGAACGACGGATGGATTTTGATTCGTCTTCGTGCATACAATGCGAGCGCTACATTGGAGCATCGTCCCTGTCTAAGCCATTTACAGGTTTTTCCCTCCTGCCCGTCCAATCATTTCAACAAAAGCACTCTACATGTCGAAAATACACCCTCCTGGCGGGTACGATATGTCTTCGACGCTCAGCAGTCCACCAAATGCTTTTGCTTTTCAAAGCTCGGCTTGGGATCTGATTGCCAGCTTCGCAGATTCGTCGCTGTCGAATGCCTCTGAGCATTTTGGTGCCCCAACCGTCGACGACGTCGTCACATTTGCTCAGCAACTGCAGGCCACCGGTCTGGCCATCTGCAGTACCGACGATCTTGAAGACATCAACGCGGGAGAGCCCATCGGCTGTGGAACCACCATGACCGTCTTCAAGTGCCGATGGAAATCAAGAAAGAAAGTTGTAGCCGTTAAGAGAATTAATCTCGGCGTTCCTCTCGGAAAGTCCATGCTTGAGATTCACGAGGAGGAGTACCAAGAATTACTTAAGTCACTATTCCTGGAACTCCGAGTCATGAATCATCCGTGGTTCAAAGCTCACCCGAACTTTGTCGACCTCCTTGGTCTCTCGTGGGATCGTGTAGAGGGTGACTTAGCCATAAGTACCTACCGCCCTTCAATCATCGTTGAAATCGCGGATCAGACGACTCCCACTCTCAAGGATTTCATATCCTGGTATAAAAGACCATGGAGCAATGAACATCAGCAGCTAGTCTTTGATTTGCTTACCGATACAGCCGAAGCGGTAGCAATGCTCCACGCTACCAAAATGGTGCACGGAGATCTTAAGCCAGAAAACATCCTCCTGTTTCCAGCTCCAAGGCGGCTCGTGGCGAAGCTTTCAGACTTTGGGTTCTGTAGTCCATTCATTGAGAACAGGGAGCGAATTGGAGGAACACTTTATTGGAATGCCCCCGTAAGCTGCCATTCCGGCCCAACACAGGTAAGTAGCACGCTAATGCAAGAGGCCAGGAGTGCATGGTTCATGCGCCGCCGGCCATCAAACCATTTGCCAAAACAATGACGAGAGACCTCTATTCGTATGGCCTGGTCATGTGGTATGCCCTGTTCCCCGATATGCCATACGGCCCCGAATCGTCCGCCAATGAATCTGTCATCCGCGATTGGAAGCTCAACCAAGATACAACCTCACTATTACGAAAACACATCATTACACACGCTACTGGCCTTAGTGAGGTTCGTAGTACCAACCAGATATCGATGTCCGCAGTTCTGATCGACCCCAGCTAAACAGCCCGCTTATTGAACATTTGAAAGATAATTCTACTCCTCACGACATGCTGTGGTTTCAGATTTGGACCGCCATGGCTGAGCTGCTACGGATGCAGCCGAACAAACGGGACGTATCCCTTGGAACGATGCATCGTATATTAAAGACTCCCAACAGGTGAAATCGTGCAGCTTTCAATTGTGGTAGATGGAAAATGACCTTCGCAGCAAGGCTGAGATCTTCCTTCCGTACCTCGTTCGACCAACAACAGTACGTTTTTTGAGAATCCTCGCTTATAAGGTACGATGAGCAATTGATGCAGGACAGGATCACGTTTTGAGCCGAGTTGATAATAGAAGCGGGATTGCACTTAATCGACCGAGTCACGTGGCTGGGATGAACGAAGCCACCAAGAATGAATTTGTATCTAAGGTAAAGAATGCATACCGAGATTGAATTTGCAGAAAGGGGACTCCTTTTGCTGACCTCGCGCCATAGTATGATGCATATAGTCTTTCTCGAATACCCATACCGCTGCAGAGACTTCTTTTTCAAACATGGGAAGAAAGCAAAAACTCTACCAGCAAAAGCGCCCCTCAGTATCCGGATCTCGCCATGAGGCGTCCCATTGGACGCCGCAATAGCGCGAGAGCTGGAGCTCGAAGCAGCTCGGTTCGGTTCCCTTCTCGGACAGATGACGGCTCTGGTCTACAGTCTCCTGGACGGCACTAGTCTCCCCATTCCCGCAAAAGCAAAAGTAGCGTGGCTGAAAAGTGCTTTGTATGCCATATGCTTTCAGGGACATAAAGGGCCAAGCGCGACTGCAGTGCAGGATCGATTTCGTGCAGCGATAGATGCCGTGCCGGACGAGTTCGTGGAGGTAAGTCTGCTCCATTCGTTTATTGGGACATGTATGACCGAGTGGGAAGTGCTCAATGGAAACTTTGATGGTGCGGCGGGCGATCCCCTGTTTGGGTTGGTAGTTAAAGGGGATGTGGAAGGTTTGACAGCGACGTTGAGCGTTCATAGGGCCCTACTACAGAGGAGGAAGGACGGCTATACTTTGCTTCATGTGGCGGTAGATTACTGCCACGAGCAAATAATACGCGGTACAGACGTCAATATTGTTATGTTGTTGATGTTCGCGATCCAGAATACTGATTTTCGTTCGCCAGAACTCATCCAAAAGTTCAGCGTCTCCCCGAACGTCTTGTCAGACTGCGGCACGACCCCAATAGAGGTGGCCGCGCTCACAGGCAGCATCGAGTGTCTTCGTCTTTTACTATCGCTCGGCGCCGAACCCCGGCCACTTGCAGAACAAGACCTGTTCACGACCGTCGCGATGACGGGCGCACGGGAATCTGCGCAGCACTCTCCAGCAGCCAACATCCGAACACTGCTTTCCCTGATATGTGGTGTTGTTGAGAGCAACCACTTGGACGAATCCACGTCCGGCAAAGAAGCGCAGGATGTTACTGCTGCTGTGGCAGTGCAAACCCTACTGGACGGCCGGTACGGCGTCAAGGTCGACGACCTCGCAGCCTGCGGGTCTCCACTGGAACTCTGCATCTCCGTCTCAAACTACACCTCGGTGTTTTCGCTGCTCAGCCTGGGCGCGGATCCGAATGCCTTTAACTACCACCGGGAGCCGGTCCTAGCGGCCCTGCTGTTGGCCTATGGCGCGGATCCGAACGGAAGAGCGCGTGGCGACTACGACCAAGACACGCCACTGCACCAGGTGGATACAACATCGGTTACCGCCTTCTACGACCCGCCGCGCAACCGGGTCGCTACCTATGCTGAACGCGTGGCAGATGCTGTTGAAGCCGTCGATACGGAGAGCGACGCCGCCGTCGCGGCGAGGGCCAAAGCCTGCATTGCCGTGTTGCTTTTCGGGGGTGCCGAAATCGAGGCAAGAGACGCCAAGGGGCATACACCCCTCAGGAGACGGGTGGTGGATAGGGATCTCGGCACGGCGGAGTACTTGATCAGTCAGGGCGCGGAGAGCGAGGACTGCCAGTTCCGGGATCAGCAGGATTGCATAGGCGAAGACGATGCCCCAAGCTGATTCAATAGGATAATACAATATAGTACTACTTAGTACCACCCCCGCCTTTCCGTCTCAACATATGGACTTCATCACACCCAGCGGAATCTAAACTTCGGGTACAGATCTGTTCTTTAGGTTGTTAGAGTCGACTGATTTTCTATTCATCTATCCAATGCCTTTTTCATCCCTTCTAACGATGTTTTTATTATCTCCTGCTGGCGCTTTGTAACCATCTGAAGTTGGTGATCAACGAGCGAAAGATCAAAAAACCAACAACCTCACCAATCCTTTTTTGATCCCGGAAAACAGCGAGCACCAAGTTGAAGGGCTTACAAGAGCCATACCTGTTCAACAGAGCGGGCGCCAGCAACTCTGCACAACTGCCAAGGTTTTCGCAAGAGTTTCACAATGCACAGTACTTACCAGGAGAAGGGGTAGCTAAAGATATACGCTAAGTGCCGTTAGTAGAAATAACAGTCATTCTGTCAAATGATCATCATACTAATATAATAAAAGAAGCATATTTTGACTATATTATAATTATATTTTCAGTAAAATACATTGTAAATAATAAGATTTTATTAGATTATAGACGACTAAGCTATATATCCCTGTACTCTCTAAGTAATATTACGATTAGGCTTAATCTAAGCGCACTTTGATGGCTTCCCTAGCATTATTTTTAGAGGGCCTCTTCCTGCTAAGTAAGTGAGTTGAGAGTGTACGTACAGACAATTCACTGTACGGTTGCAGCGAAAATGAGCTCTGAAACTAGCGAAGTTAAATGTAGACGGATAACTATCAATGGAAAAATACACGTTGGAGGAATTGGCCAATGGTATGTGCTCATCTGGCTTCACTACTACTACATGTTTGAAGGGATTGTTCAGTACTCATTAAAGGACCCCTTTAAGCTTTAATAATAACCTAGATCTTGAGATTATTGGCATCTGGGAATTCGAGCAAGAAACAGTCGTCCTGGAAGCTTAGACCATTTTATTTTCATCCTACGGCTCTACCTCTGTGGGACTCTTCACCACTCTCTCCCCTTGCAAGAGTGGACACAGGGATGACCTCACGAACACTCACTCATTATACTTGAAGCGGCCGTGATCATTCGCCAAGCGTTCGCCAAGATCGATGGTCGCGTCGCGCCAGCCACCACCACCAGTGTCGCCCCCGGGGCCGCGAGCTGGGCCGCCAGAGTCCTCCCATCATTGAGCAGCTTGAGTTCTCTGGCGGAGTGGCTGAAGTTGCCCCCTCTGCCCTACTTCAACGAACCATGGTCGTTTCTGATGTAGTCGTCGAGACAGATAGTGTCGACGTACCATCCGGCTTTGTCACCGCTGGCGGCAGATCCTGTAGCCAGTTCGGCGACGAGGTATTGTTTATTGTCACGCTTGTCAATTCTGGTGTTCTGAGAGTGTGTGAAGAACGACATGATTGGTACTTCTGGCGAAGTTTAAGGAATAGAGACCTGAACTCTGTTAGAGATATCAGCTTCAGTTGATAGGCGTAGGTATAGCTAACCGTCTTCAATCGCCTAGAACATAAGACATGTACTAGAAAGGATTTCCTAGTAGAAGATAAGACTGTTCGTTAAAGGAGGTAGATATGTTAGTTTATACTGAGCTTGTTGTTGATTGATCTATATGAGAATGAGCTTCTCCTAAAGGGTGGCGCCCGTCTTTTATATAGCCGTCTCTCTGTCCTCACAGACGGATCAAATACGTCTACCAGAGAGGTATAAACGAATGTGGCGAGCTGAAGACATAAAAAGACGACTTATCAGATGAAACGCCCGTTTTGAGTCAGCCAATAAGTTGGGTAGGTTGATCTCCACAAGGGCTCTTAGGCTTATCATGTTACAGCTCAGCCAGTCTAAGTTATCTTTCTGAGAGGAGAGGAGGACCAAGCTGAGGTCAAGGTCAGCCAGCCGCCACGATGTGTGAAAGAAATGCCCTCACATGGCCGTGGTTGCCATTGCGCTATTGATGAATGGGCGGCGCTATTGTTAAATCATCGACAGTCTCGACCGTCGACAATCAACACAGCCCCTTCGCTAAAGCTGCTGGGTGCATAAATAGCTGGCGTGCATACGAGAGGAAAAGAGTCGATCGACAATCACAGACGTCAGAAGTATTTATCAAACTAGTGTCTTGGCAACCGGAAATGTGGACCACTGCAGAGGTCAACATGTCTCCGTCACTATTCGCTAGGCGTATTGTGACCCGTGAAAGAGAGCTGCATAAGTAATTTAGCACGAACACTCAAGGTCATCCAGGTCTCCTCTTTTCCCTCCCAGCTGAACTCATGTCAAGCAGGTTCAGTCAGCCACCCGGCCCGCTTACCGCCCCGTGCCCTCCGTCCTCGTTCTTTTATTGCCAAGGTGACAATCATTAGAATGATGGTAACCCCTGGAAGGGACTTGACACCATTATAGGAAAGCTGCGGTCTGGATTTACAGCCATATGTTTCCCTTCGTGGTCACGGACAGCTCTTTAGGAGTGTGACACAGTGTGGTGTGGTCGAGAATGCTGATGCGCACACAGCATGATCCATGTCAACATACTAGGCCTGATCTCAAATCCAGATGGTCAATCGTCAGTAACATGTTCAAAAATATTCGAGTAGAATAGATTCCTATTGGCGCTGATCTAATGGTGGAGTAACTCGAGTAGTTCTATCCATTTTTCGATCAGTACATTCTGGGGTGGTAAATTGAATTTGCTGAGTCTGGCATCATAGCGGAGTTCAATAATCCATCCCATCCCGACTGAATCAACGTATGATGGGGGGCCAAAATATATTCCAGTTAGGGCTTAAGACTAGACACACTATGGTATCACAGATCGATGAGGAAGGATCCAATAAGACGTCAAACAGGGTGAAAGCACTTGCAGGGAAAGTCGACTCGACCTGCATAGTAACAGAGGGTGGTCGTCCTGTGTTCACTACTCTGTTCTGAATTTGCATGTTTTCGAATTGGTCTTCAAATTAATTAGTGTCAGAACTCAGATAATAAACAGAGGAATGCCAAGCATGATAGCTTGGCGATCTTCTATAATCCAGCCAAGCAATCCCGCGTTATCACGTGGGATCCGTTAGCTGGCTTGGCGTCGCTGCTACTTCTTAGATTAGCTCTTGCTGCTCGTCAGCTTTCTCTCTCACACTACGTTAGAATCAATCAAGTAACTCGATCCATTGCACACGTAGAGCATGGCTTGCAAGCACTTCAAGTTGGGTACGAGGCATACTGAATCGTCCACGTTGAAGGTTACCCAGATAATGTTGACCTTTACTGGGTACACGTTCATTGAACTTGACTGCTGGACAATATTTCAGACCACCGTCTGAAATTGACAACAATGTTGTTGCTTTAGAACACTGACCTGAGCCTTGCACTCCAACTAAGACTCCCTCGACTTGAGGATGATCCTAATTCCGATGAACAGTTACTGGATTTCAACAGCAGACGACTGACATCCCTTGGTCTCATCGAGGCAATCTGGCGGCGTGGGCACCAGACGTTTATTCTGGAACGGCGCGTTGCAGAATCACCACCTCGAGATATCATCCTCGGCTATCAAACCCTGTTCAAGCACAAGGTTGTTATACTTAACCCCAGGTACCGGGGTACTCCAGCTGCACCACTTGTGAAGGATAAAAGGAAGGCTGGCAAAGGTGAGCTTAGACGGTGAAATGGTGAAATGGTGAGAGCACCACTAATGACAGATGCGCCGTAAGGAAGCAAAAGAAATCGAGAAACGCAAATCAGACACAGCTAACCATGCGGCTGATATCAAAAATCTACCGGAAACTGAGGGTGCAGTGGACCGAAGACGGATAGCAATTCGATAGCCAAAGCAAGAAGTTTACCAAGAAAGCCGACGGACAAGTGAAGGAACGAGAATTGCCAGTGAGATACCAGAAACCTTGAGAACCATTGGTTTAGGGAGATGTTCGCAGGGCCATTTGCATTGGTTCATAGGTTAGGTAGGGTCCAGGGCTGAGGCTCCGCCCGCGTTCAATCGATTGGTATCCGTTTTGACAAGTCACAGGGTCCGGAGATCCCAATCAGAAATCTTCAGAGATCCCAATCAGAGATCTCAATCAGAGATCCAAAGTCAATGAGAAAGACCAGCAACAAAATGAGCTGTTATTACGTACCAGCTAATTTTTTAGAGCATAACATGCCCAGAGCAACACCAGCCTCATGTTAGCCATGGTTCGCCACGCTGAGGCAGTGCTGGGAGTCCTCTTACTTGCTTTGTTGTCAGTTTCGTCATCGACGTTGCATAGGGCTCACTCTCATTCCACTAATCGACACAGTATACCAGAAATACTGCTCCAGCTCTCACGACCATTGCCCCACCGAACCGCCTGCACCTTATACAGTTAGTTTGCACAGACGCCGCCAGGTTCAACACCCTCACACCCTTCACGATTTATACAATTAGTTACACAGACGCCGACAGTTGCACCCTTCACGATTCCCACTATCTAGCTCGAAAATACTGCCCAAGTCACTATCCGCATTACTCCTCAATCTTATTATGCCAGTAAAGCGCACACCTGTCGCCGCGTTGTCGCCACACATGCAGCGACTACAAGATCCCACCTTCCTCGATTGATCCACTCGTGTCTCCCAACCACCAATCTCACCGAGTGCGGAGCCTCTGTCTAGACTCGGTCATCCTCCCAGACAACTGGCTGAAGAGCTAATGAAGCCCTCCCGAACTGAGCTTTACCGTACACGCTCAGCAGACTACACACATCATTGGTGAACGAGATGGACACCAACAAGCGAACAAAGCATGATAAAGACCTGATGTTTCAGCTGGGGAAGGCTTGCATAGCTACGGATTGGGCTGAGAACCCGGACTGGCGTCGAATTCTGCATTATCTAACTGAAGACCTTCACGTTGCGTCCCATAAACACTTCGAGGCATACTTCGTCAAAGTCCAATCTGGTGCCCGCCAGTCCGCGCCCCCAGCCTCACCTCATCCAAAGCCCACATCTGCCCCACCTGCTTCAGATACAAGGTCCATACGCCCACCATCTACTGGGGCTACTGGGTTCCACTCCCGGTCAGGCTCTATGCAAAGGGCACCGTCCCCGATCTCAACTAGCGGTGATCTCTCGGAGGCAGGCTCGCAATTTGAGAATTCGGACACCAGCTCTTCAAAGAGCGCGCCAGTCTTGAGACATGGTATCACCAACATTCTGCTTGGTCCAACGGCAAGTCCAATGTTTTTTCGCTCTCTCCTCCGGCTGCTAATGTGCCTTAGAATGACGCCAACGAAGTCAAATACTGGTCCTATAGTCGTCAAGTATGGCGTCCTTGCATCTGTATTGAAGGTGATTCTCATGAGAACTGGATTTCCATGCGGATAGCAGAGCAGACTGGACTTGAAATCCGACCACACAGTTGCGGAAGGCCTGAGTGTCGAGGCGTACTTCCACTCATGTGGCATCCGAGACATAGCATCAAGACAGTGGAAGGGGAGTTCCATGTCACGGTTGAAGATAACATGCCTGACCTGGTCGTTGGAAAGGATAAAATGGCAGACGCGACGATGGCGCAGGAGGCTGGTCGATCTCAAGAAGGTCTCGAGAGACTCCTGCAGCACCAAGGGCTCTCTGGTAATTCGCCCTCCTTCGTCTCAGGCTTAGTCTTGACACTGATGGCTTGGTAGGCCGTTCTCGCAGCTGGTCGAGGCCAGCTGACTTGCTTACGCCGATGGCAACTCCATCACCAGGTCGAGCAGGGCTCTCCTTGAGTGACACGCCCAGGGACACCCCTTTGTCCTTAAATGCGGTTTCAATCCCCACGGTGATCAAAACGAGCGAGAGCGTTTCTGGCATATCAGACACGGGTAGTTCCCGGCCAAATGGTAAAACAACAGATTCAACCAATTATCCCCCACGGACGAGGCTCTTCTCTCAAGCAACCCATTCCGTGGTCCAGGGAGCCTCCGCAGAACCACCGTCAGCAGTGCACGAACGATCAAAGCAAACTGAGATTGACGCGCGCACCATCTCTCGAATTAAGCACTTGAAGGCCGGCGTCAGAGTAATCTTCCGCTGCCTTACCTCAGTCTTGGCCATGACCCTGATGATTGAACTTTCGTTCTGCTACTACTGTCTAGTTTCCAGCCAAGAACATGCTTTGCGTCTAGGCCTGGATATAGCATGGCTGCGAAGGTCTCTACTAGGGCTACCACTGCAGTATATTGGCTTTGTGTTTATACACGTCATCCTGCTTCGGATTCTGATCCTCTGGCTCCCATGGCTTTCGTGCGGGGAAGCTGGGGGAGGCCGGAGTTCGATGGGATTGTAATTTCTGCACTGGCGTTGCTGGTTCATTCTGCATTCATTTCGTGTCTCCTGATATGAGCGTTCGTTGTCCTTTGTGGGTTTTGCATTCTGTGAGGCATTGTGGTCGCTTTCATTTATAGGGCTCTGTGTTGTGTTGCTTTTTGTTCGACTCCTGTGCGCAGGTTGTTTTCTGCAAATTCATTGGGAAAGCAACTGGATGTTATTAGGGACGGTGTCAAGGGGGAATGCTGGGCAAAAGAACGAACTGGATTGGCTCATTCAGTTACAGCGTATTTTACACGCAAAGAAGAAGAAGATGGCAACACGTTTCAGTCTAATTGGCGGCTCTTTTCAACACTATACTAACTTTACATATCGGAAGTTGACAACTACTCGACTTGACCTTTACACAGGCTCCCCTCCGCCATTCTCAATGAAAATGCTGAGAGGCAACAGACGTCTCAGTCACAACGCATTACAGCGTGCCTGCCGGCTTTTTTTTCATGTCGAAGCATACGTAAGTCAGCCTGGTGGGAATCAACAGTTCAAGAGATTTAGCTTGTTCGCGCAACTTCTTGCAGCATAGCAACCATCGTCTTGGGAAGGTATGTGTAATGTACGTTGAGTGTGGTATCTAAATTCTTGGACATATACAAAACCGAGCTGACTTAGTGTCTGCCTTCCACACAGCACTCCTCAAGCAAGCGTATATACTTTCCAAATCAGGAAAGTGTGCCTTTTCTTCATTGTCCTGTTGCATCTATGCACATTTTCATTGGTTAAATACATTGACAAGGAAAAGCGCAACATCGTAGTAAGCAATGTCATCAGAGAAATAACAGCCTAGCAACTACGAATGCACCAATCTCATACCAGGATACTCCTGGAGAGAAAAACCCACCATCACCGTACTACAATCTGACTCTTCTCGACTGCAACGAGATATGTGGGAGCTCATAGACAGTACCCAAGCGACAAAATCCGCCGAAGGCTAACTACCTGGTAAATCCCTATCCTCGTCCTCGTGGGCAGCATGCCTTTCGCCACACTAGGATATAAAATCGACAATACCGACCATTGTGCATTTGCTGGGCGACCCGATCGATTCCACGTGGAGCTTTGTGACGCAACTCGAGTGTCTCCCGGGGATGCCGTGTCTGGGCTGCTGGAACGGACGACGAGAAAAGTGCCGTCAAAAGCGGTACAGTAAGTAGCGGCAGTTCTGGCCGCCGTTTAGGGATTGCATGATTCAGGCAGTCGACCGATGTCACTGCCCTTTCTTCGCTCTACCAACCTCCACCTCCACCTCCACCTCCACCTCCATCGGGATGTATTCGACAACCCATGAAATGTGGTTGCCAGTGAGCTGGCCGACAGCAAAGTCCGGCGCGTCCTTACGAACCTAACTCGCCATGACAGAATCAGTGGGAAACCCGGGAAACCGGATCGCCTCTGCATATGCTGTTCTCATGGTTCGTCCCCGTGGTACCGCTAAGCTGAGCGCTACTTGGCGTCTTTTCTATTCAAGCACATCATGTGTCAAAGAATGATAGAATGCCTCCAGTGGTCTTTTAACTACCTGCACTCGGGGCTACTCGCCCCGCAAGAACGTAGGGCGATGAGTTTTGTACGATATCTCGGTGGGGCGAGTACCCATGTTGCATTGTAGGTAAGTTGCTGGGTGTGAAAGGGGTGGAGAAGGTAAGCACTTATGAATCTCGATCGTGCCCTTCAATAATTATTCTTCTTCTTTTCTACAGTAGAGGGTCTATAGGCGTCGGCATCCCAACGTTATCAATACATGTACATGCATAATCTTCATCTTACAAGTCAATGACAGCTAAGCTGTTCTTGTGAACAATTGTCCGCTCAAGCCAAGTCACAAAATTTCCTAGAGTCCCCCTTGGCCAATTTCCTCGGAGCTGCTCGACGGGCTGTGCGCTTTCCCCTTTATGCGGCGTGCCCAGTTGCGTTACGGCATGGTGCTGTGATGCTCGAGATTGTGCTCACTATCAGACTCGACGGAAAATCCTGCGTGCTTGAGGACAAGACCACCGTCCCGGGGTATCCCTGGATGGAGCGAAAAAGGCCATTTCGTATGAGCTGTATCATCTACAGGCGCTGCTTTTTACCCTTTGCCGGAGCCCAATTCAAAGCAGACCCTATTCTTAGTGACTGAGGGTAGGGTGATAGTGATTTCTCCCTAAGACTGCTCTCATCGCCTCTGCGTCCATTCAGCAGGCTGATCGAGGAGGGTCGGGACACAGCGTGACTTGCTGATATTGATGTCCTGTTGGCTCATTTTCGATAGCCTTTTTGGCTCGTATAGAGCAAAGCGACTTCTTACAGCGGAGGTAGGAACGGAAATATTCAAACAGGTCGTCAGCTACTCAGCGCTTCTCTTAAAGAGGAGGAGGGATTGACGATATTGATCGGAAGAGAACCGGAGGAAAACGTGGGCGACTCGAACGTCGGTGATTCAGCTTGTTTTCCACTTTCGTCCAGCTCGATCTCGTCATCTTCAAGGTCCTAGGATGGAATTAGCTTATACAGCCTCGAGACAATCTCGTTGATCTACTAACGTTCGGATCATCCGAAAGCTCATCGCCTTTTTCATCAAGCTCTTCGTCAAATGAGAAAAAGCTTGCCTCATTGTCGGTCTTGTTAGGACTTGTCACGTCTTCACTAAGATCAGACTGCGGGATCCCAATGGGCAATGGATCTGGCATAATTTCGATTCCCGAGTCTGTCCCAGCGTCATCTGAATCCCGGTCATACTGATCTTCTGACGGACTAGGTATTTCTTCGTATGAGGAGCTTGGCTCTACTACCACTGAATGGGCCAGCCGAAAAGTAACGTGTTTTCGCTTACGAGCGGCTCCGCTAGCAGCTCTCAGGGCGCTTGGCAAGCTGGTCGACGGCAGCGTTGGGGCCGTCACCGCCCGCTTGGTTTCAGATATGGGAGGAGGAGTGGCGATCTGGGGCAAGGAAGAAGGTTTGGTGTCGAGCAGCTGGAGATAACCTGGTGTGAAGAGGCCATGGAACTCGTTTTCCCTGTCGGGAGTTGTAGGGGATTTGCCAGTCCCTCTTTTGGAGGGATCTCGAGGAGGAGTAGCCGATAATAGCGTAGGCGAAGGAAACAAGTTTTTTCCTAGCGGTGGAGTGCCCGAAACTGGAGGAGTCGTCAGGCCGTTGATTGTGACCCTGTCAACAGAGACGCTGGGTCTGCTTGGGCCAGTAAGCATCAGGCCACCAACACCGACATCCTCTGCTTTCTTCTTCCTTTCTTTGTATGCAGCGCCATTCATAGCATTCATAGCCAGTTCCTTCTTGCTCGGGTTGCTCAGCCCTGAAATTGAGGTTGCTGGGTGTGGAAAGACAATATGATTGTTTCGCTTCTTGCGTGAGCGGAGTTCATGCTCGAATGACTTGAACTCCTCCTCTTTGCGCGATTGGAAAGCCTCTATCTCCATGTCGATTTCCCTTCGCTTCTCCTCTAGAACGGATATGAGATCTGCCTCTGAATCGCTCAACTCGTCGGGTGCGGGCGATGGAAGAAAGCTTTTGGCTCCGCTGAAGTAAGACAACTGTCTATGCATTCTGCCTCAGAGGGATCTCAGAAGCCCGGAGCTTAGACGAGAGGAGAGTAGCGATTTTGCTCCTGGAAAATATGTTTGCCTCTTCTCCAGGCTTAATGATTGTCAATTGACCGCTACTGGGAAGCACAGATAAAGCGGAGAAAGGAAGATATGATGCTGGGAATTCTTTGTCGCACAATGCTGGTGGGCAATGGAGAAGATTAGGGAAAGTAACCATGACTCAAACGGAGGGGAATACTTTTCAATTGGTCCTTTCACGTGTTGAGAAGCCAGGTAAACCGGTCCGTTACTGCGATTGCACCCCCACACTATGGAATCCTCATCCCACGGTCGGAGTTTATCTCCAACTATCTATCCTCGGCGTGCACAGACTTATTCCCCAGCCAGTAGTAGTACTACCTCGTAGCTTGCATAGAAGGTTACAGGGGGCTTTAACTAACTAGCGGAAAACTTTAGTAATTAGATTCACTACGTATTTCAACCATGCCACGACGCGGGAACCGCTCCCCGTAAATCGTATTCAATAAGAAAAACGGGTAAGGTGAGAAAGATATTTGACTCTTGGACCATGATGACCCTCTGCACGGGACACAAAGATTGCATTCTGGGCCATGCTCATCGCATGTACCATTTCCATTTCCATTTCCATTTTTCAAGGATAAGGATTGTCGAAGCTTGCAAAGGTGGTCCCCCGTCCACCTATTGGCATTGTTCCCCACAAGTTCTCCATATGATAAGATAGTTATATTGTGTTCTTCTCCTTATTCGAGTCACTTTCTCATCATTCCGAGTGCAAAAAGTGGTGTCCGAGATTGCTGGAAGAAGCTTCGCTACGCTTACATGTTGCAATCCATGACCTCTGGCATCACTACTTCAGAGCGTGACGGAACGCTCGAGTAGTTGTATAGTATGAAGACAACAAAACCTTGGAAACAGATGATGATGCTGATGATGATTTTGGCGACATTTTGACATCTCAGAATGGGAAAGTGCGCAATTGTGTTTTGGCAGGAGTTATGGAGAAATGCGCTGTGCTTGTTGTCTGCTGTCTGCGCTTGACAATACAAGCTCTACTTCGGTGTGGAAGCTTCGAACATACACACCGTGACGGGCAGGAAACACAGTGCCAAGCAGTGTTTTTTACCACCTCGCAAGTTGAATATGGAACAATTCCTACCCGGGGACGCATGGCGCTGATGGCATTTACTGTACCTCCAGCAGGCGCTTGACAGGTTATTCTTCAAATCACTCTTTTATCTAATCTTCATTATGGGATCAGATGCACTCCATTATCAGCATAGCAGTTTGTGGCCAACAAGAGAGCAGTATCTCTGGCTGCTTCGCACCGAAGCGGCATGCAGAGGTCTTCTCTTTGCCTCGAAGAAGATCGACCTTCCGGGACCTTACAGCTGCGACAAAATGTCTGAGCGGTATGATGGAGACTTGATGCCAGAGGAGTGGCTCGATGTGAGCGGCAGCGCAGTACAAGCCGCTCCATCTGGCGCTCGCCACGACCAGGACAAAGATTACGCGCAGATTACGGATAGTGGCGGTCCTCAGACAGTGTTGAAGACTTATGCTTGGTTATATCTGAAAGGCATCCGAAGGAACGTTGACGAAGAGTTGTCAGAAGCTGGAGCCACCAAATCAGAACTCGTTTGCCCTGTTGATGCTATTCTACACGATCTCGGTACCATATGGGCATCGAAAGTAACAAGATCACACAAGCAGGAAAAGCCTCAAGCACGTATAGGTATCTTTAGTGACATTCCTCAAGAGGAAACAAGTGTCGAGTACGTCCAAATACCATATGGCATGACCTTCGACAATTTCCATACGCAAGCTGCCGCTCTCGGCATCGTCCGTTATCTGACCACAAAACACCATCCAGCCCTGGCGAAAACTCTCTTCCTCGAAGACCGCGTCGTGTACCATCATCCTTACCCAGCCGCCATGGAGTCATCCGACCCCTCATACGCACATGAGATCTACCCCATCACTAGAGACTATGATCAAAAAGACAACGGCTGGTATGCTCATATCGTTCCCCTAGATCCAGCCACGGCGGCTACTGCGGGCATGTACGATCAAACCCGTGACTGGCGTCCAATCAACACCGAGGCAGACTGGAAATCTCTACTTGACCTGCTCAAAATCTCCACGACGGCTCGGAAGGCCTTCATGCGCCACAAATCCGTCGACGACCGCATGGAATTTATCAAACGGCATCGGGAGCGAGAAGAGTTGGAAATTGCCAAGACCGGTGGATTTTGTACGAATGTCTTTCTGAGCAGGCATATGGAAGGCATGCGCGCCAAGGATAACTTTGAAGGTAGGTAAATCGATGTTTTACTATCCTAGGGAGTTTTCAGAGGATAATGCTGACAATCCCTTCTTTCTCTTGAAGTTCCTTTCCATCCTGGACAGAACATAAGTGGCGAAGAGTGGTTGAGGAGGGTGACGGATCAGCAAAGAAGGGAGGGTGAGGTATTTGAAGATGAAGTTGACTTCTTCGCTCACTTATGAGGTCCGCTCCGGAAAATGTCACTGGTTAGTGTAGTGGTAGGTGGGATAGGACAGACTGCTGTATCACGACCGCATATGACTTGGTATGACCTAAGGCTAAGGCGAATGGTTAGACGGCGTTGATAGGTGGGGACAGCTTTGGATCGCGGCAATGCATATCCTGAACGGAGCTTACGAAATGATTTTTGACGGTTGTGGAAGATTACTGTCCTCTTCTCATCAAAAGGCCACTGTCGTCGCCTTGTCCTCGAGCAGAAATAGCACTGAGTCACAGCACCATAATCTCAGTACTGCAAAACTCATTCTTGAGTGAGTTAGGCTGTACCTAGATCGGGTCCCGGTTATGCCCTGAAGAGACTGGACTAGTTCATTTTATCTTCTAGTCGTCTATGCATCCCGATATGGCTTCTGGACTCCGGTCCACCGGATAGTAAGGCATAGATTCATTGACCAGAATAGAAAAGGCTCTTCTTGATCTCTAATCTTTCTCATTCCACAAGGCTACAATATATACAGCGGAACAGCGTTTGCAAAAGTCCAAACGCCTCCGTTCATAGCTCACCATCCGTCCTCAATTTCTCCTTACCCCAAGGCTCACTGGTCAAATTCGTCAATCCAGCCGAATTCTCGCAACTCCTCCTCCCACTCATAGGACCCGGAGCCGGAACCTTGACACCCTTAGGCCCCGCATACACCCTCGTCGCCTGTTTCCCCACCACATCGCCCGCCTTGACATTCTCATCCTGACCAGTGATAGCTCCCACCCCCTTCCCAGCCAACCCCTCACCCATCCCACTGGCGCCGGCAATCCTCGCACTATCCTGCAACGCCTTCAGCAACGTCACCATGCTCTCCGGCGTCAGATCCTCATAGTAATCATCATTGATCTGCACCATCGGCGCATTCACACACGCGCCCAGACACTCGACCTCGACAAAGGTAAACAACCCATCCTCGGTCGTCTCTCCGGGATGGATGCCCAGATAATCCTCGATCGCCTTGACGATGGCGTCGCTGCCGCAGCCGCCCAGCATGCAGGGCGAGGTGGTGCAGATCTGCAGGTGGAACTTGCCCACCGGCTGCCGGTTGTACATGGTGTAGAAGGTGGCGACTTCGTAGACGCGCATGGCCGGCATCTCGAGGATGCGTGCGACCTCGTTCATCACGGAGATGGAGGTGAAGCCGTGTTGGCGTTGGCCGAGGTCGAGGAGCGGCATCACGGCGGCTTTTTTGTACTGGGGCGGGTAGCGTTTGAGGATCTCGGAGATGATGGTTTGGTTCTGCGCCGTGAATTTGAAGGGGATGGACGGGTTGTTTTCCGGGGTGTGGCGGTGCTGTTGTGATGGAGTGTTAGAAATCTGGGGTTGGGCCCGGTGAGCGGGTAGATTGGTTGCGAACGTACAACGTAGATAGTTCCGCTCAAGCTGGAGGGCGTGGAGGAGAAAGAGCGTGGTTGAAGGAATGAACGGCGAGGTAGGGAGCGCCGGCCATGTCGGACGGCGATGGGGAGAATCTTGGATGCCATTGCTGGCTATGTTGTTGAGGTGACACCCTGACGAGATGGTTAGATCTCGAAGATGAGAGAGCTTGCTCCAATCGGGTTGTGGGCGATGTCAGAGCCTTGTGTTGTACGCCAGTTGTCTCTCCTACCTACCGTAGTTAATTACTATGCATTGCGGAGCTCTCCTAAACCCTCGACACCCCAAAATCTACTGCCGCAGCTCAACTAAAATGCTCTAAGATCTGTATCATTCAGTAGCTGTAAGATAGAAGACTTAGTGTTGGGAGGACCGGGTCATGAGCGACATAACAAGGGATTTAGATAGGGTCTGAACTGTGGCCGAAGTTGCCATCATCTTCATCCCCAAGCATCCTCTTCGCTTCTCTCCCTCACCAATTCCCGACTATTAGACAGGAGAGAAGCGCATGAAGAGGTAGGATTAGTAGTCTATAATTCTGTTGTCAAATGGGTCAAACTCCATTGATTGCTCTCTTGGCTACTGTGGCCACACTGGAGCTCAGTCAGAACGTACTACAGAGGGTAGAATTTAAGTCGCATTAAGCGGGTACTAACTCAACGGCAGCTACCAAGCGCTCCGTTCCTGGTGAGTATTGCCCATTGCAAAAGTGCTGCAGCTCCTTGGCGCATGCTGCGGAGCTACTGCTACTTTAGCGGTCCATACTGAATCCATAGATATTAAACAAAATAACGGAAGATTTATATCAATCGGTAGCTATAGATGCATTGGCTTATAATAAGCATATTTCTCTTTCCCTATTTGAAGGTCTAAATGTGATAGACTAAGAAGCTGAAGATTTATATGTAGAAAGTGTACTTATTAAAGATTCTCTTTACATGAAATCTACATCAAAAGAGTTAGACAAAGCTGCATTACATTCGGTAGCTATTTGAACAAATCTCAAAGCGTGCGCCAAGGAACTGCCACACTTTTGCAACAGGCAATAGTACCCCGTATTCAACCTTTTGCTCCCACATTATCACCGAATTCTCTTGTTCGAGTTCAGTCAGGCACAGCAAGGCACAGCGAACACCAGACAGATGACGGTCGAGAAATACCCGATCCTGGAAAAGCGTCTAGCAAGACTATATTGCGTTCTGTATCAGGAACAATGTGCACTCTGTGATCTGCAAGGGCTGGAAGGCCGACTGCCACACCCCATCTGCATCGGCATGCAGATCTTCCCTTCAAGTCATGCATATTTTCTGTCTTCTTCATCAACGTGTGACACAGTACTGTCTCATGTGCTCTTTGAGGATGTGATACATCCCCGCTCCTCTTCTTAGCGGATGGTATTCTCTCCGCAGCAGGATGAGTGGTTCATCTACCAATCTGCATCATAACTGAACTACTCATCCCCAGAGCATACCTCGTCTTTCTATGAGGATACATCTAAGTGCGGCCACTCAGTATTTGATGTTCGCAGCACGCAATTGTCCCTTGGTGTATCCAACATCTATCTCCACCGGCTTAGCTCTTGGTCGACTCAAGCCTTGAATCCACCTGCACACGTCTTTTTCGGATCCGAGCATCTGCGTCGGATCCTAGCCTTTTCTCCTTGATGAAGTACTGGCGACGTCGACGATCATGGAGAGGAGAAGGGTCTTATGCTCGCAGAGTGGTTTACCCCTCATTTGGTTCTGTGTATACTAATGGCTATAAGTCTTCCTTGATCGCCCTTTGTATTCTGTGTTCTTTCATTTCCGACCCATTACACCTTTCAGTACTTGTCTTACACTTTCGATCGTTCTTGTAGAGTCGTTCGTGATGCATCTCTTTTATACTTTGTTGTTGCCCGCCCTTATCGTAGGGAGCGCATCTGCCGCTGCGCTTTCAGAACCTAGGGTGAAAATCGTGATCGAGGTTGACGAGGTATTTTGTATTCCATTCTCATGCGCATGGCGGGATTACTGATGTTCTAAGGGCCTTCAATTCTCCAAGCATCCCACTCCCAACCATCGCTACCGGCTCTCAGACAATAGTGCGCAACACACCATGTCGCTCACCTCCTGCACTACTCCTGGAGAAAAAGGTCCGTTCTCTCCAACTTCAGACCCAGCATGTCGTTTCCCATAACTATATTCTGGCAACTGACGAGGCATGCTGACCCGTGTTTGGTTGGCTAGGCTCATGCACGGAGAGTTGCTGCTCTGGACTTTGCAACATCAGGGACAGGACATGTAGCTGTAGCGCTCACCAAGGTAGCTTCCTCTCCATGCCTTGCCTCGCACCAGAAGCTGCCCTTCACCGTCATATTCTATGAAGAATTTCTCACGCTATGCTATCAGAACCTTGCGATCGGAACGAAGTGTGCTGTTCGGACCTCACATGCCAAAGCAGCGAGGGTTCCACGACAAAGAGTTGCCAGTAGCCGAATATCGACTACCTCGACGGGATTGTTTTCCCTTTCGCAGTCCTATAGCTATGGTTGTATGTCGAGTGCGAACTAAGTAGGGTGGTCGGGTGGCTCAGCGGTAGCAAGAAAAGGGGGGTTGGACTGCGTTTTATTGTGGCCAAGTACGGAAAAGTTACGGTGCAGAGTCGGAAACGGATACTCTACCCCTTTTCGATCTCCTGAGAGAGGCGAAGAGAAAAAGTACCTGTAATCTGTCCATGCGATATGTTCATAGTACACTGAATTCCAGATGCTGCAACTAGATCTTGTAGAGCTGCTTTCACACTAAGAGAATTCAATCCTGACCTACAAGTCACGCATACCTGTAATATCCCCTCAACAGAACCTGGGGCTGCAAGCTGTGTTCACGGCTCCAACACGTACTCCGGCATACATGATACTGCCACAGATTAAATGTATGCCGATACTTTATCTGCATCGCCATTACCAACAAACCGGGGTCACCCTACCGCCCAAATCCCTAGACCTAAGTAGAAAGGCACATCCTCCCAAACGTCGCAGGCCAGACTGTGAATGAGAGGAATCGCGCAACCCACAACATCAACCCAATTGCCTAACTCAGACCCATAATTCTCTCCATGGCAGGAAAACGCCCCTTTAAAAAGCCGCCCGACCACCAGACTGGCTTCTCTCGCCTCGTCGACCAAATTCATTGCAGTTAATTTCAGCGCCGTTCTTCCAGTGGTATCCATGAAAGTCTTGTGCAAAGACACCTCTGACTGCAGAGTAGGCAGACCGGTTCCCCCAACCAACTCCCATCGGACATTTTCTGCACCTTCTGGTAGTATGACTCGGACCTGTACGTGTTCGTATTGAATGCCTTCTTGCATCTTCGGCCCTTCCAGGAAAGGTACGCTAAGGATGTAAGGGGGAATGGAAGGAAGTGGAGATTGAAAGATGGAAGGAAGGAGTGGGATGCTTGGTTCGCGGTTTGATTCATGGATGGGATGGGTGGGGAATTGGAAAGGGGAAGGGAAAAAGAAACGTTGTTTGCAGTGCCTGACTATTACTAGTGGCCTGTACTCGATGATGCATGAGGATGTGACTTACGGCAGGGTGGACATTCTTTCTTCATGCACATGATGGGGATGTGTGGGTACGGGTGCGGGTGTTGCAAAAGTAGAGAGGCCTCCGAGCAACGGCGAATGGATATGACGGTCTATGAGGTTCCGGAGACGATGAAGCTCTTGAAAAACTTTGATTGACAAATATATGTGTGGAGGGATAGGTAGTCTCGAGTAGGGGTCGCCGAAATCTTTTCGGATCCTTGAAATGAAATCTATTTTGTGCGAAATTTTACCGAAATTTGTAGTAGATTTCAAGATAGATTTCAAGATAGATTTCAAGACAGATTTCAACTAGGAGCATTTGGGGAACAGCGCACTGTAATTTGCTAGTAATTGTCCGGGCAGGGCCTAACCAATAATCAATGGTAAGTTTACTTGAGATGAAGCTTTTTGAGATAGAAAAAGGCTATATTTAGTGGCTGAGTCGAAGTTAAGGATTCAACAGCAGGAAGAACTTGGAATGCTTAGGAGAGGTCACATTACGCAGAGACTACCTGATTAAGTCCAGCGCGTTTGGAATACAAATTAGCTTGGTCTGGGCGAAATGAAACCTAAATAAATGCGCCATCTAAATACTTGAAATTTTGGAATAAAAGAAAATCTGCGAAACTTTGCGACCCCTAGTCTCAAGAGACGCATCGTCAGCATTGGGCTTTCGAAGATTGCTTAGTTATGGTTCGCCTGCGGAGCGAATGGGAATTGAAGAAGCCAGTTCTGTACAAGTATGTATATATGTATATTTGAAGGTTTACAATCTGAACAGCTGCTACTGTACACCTCCTACTTCAACTCACCCATCTCAACTAACCTCCCTATCCCCATTCCCATCCCACTCCCACCCTCCCCTTCATCCCTGCGATCAAACCAACCCTCCTCCTTAATCACAAACGCAAAATTAATCACCGTCGCCACGAACAACATGACACACAGCACCGTCGGACCCCATTTGTCGTAATACCGACCCAAACTTGCCCTCCTCTCCCTGATCATCTGCACCCTGAGATAATAGTTTCCCACCGAATATAGCAGCCCGCAACACGCCACAATCGTGAAACCCCAAGCCGACACCAAACTGGCCTTGTCACCGAAATTCAACAGCGTGGCCGCAATACTGCCAAGGATGATGCTGAACTCGAGCCACGACAAAAATGTGCGCTCTGCAGCAAAATAAACTTTTGGCTCCACACGCACGGGCACGTGGATGCGTTTCCCTTTTGGCGCTTTGAATTTGCGAGCGTGCACGTCGCCTCCGATCGGGTTGACGCCACCAATGCCGGAGTTCGTAGCCGAGGGGGTTGGTTTGGTGGTTAGGAAGAGCTTTTTTAGGCCAGCGGCAAGAGAGTCCCCAATGATAGCGACGCGGTGTTTGGCCATTTTGCGCGCGTAAAGCCAGCCGCCTCTTCGTCTCGCTTCTTCCAACTCGTCGGATGAGTCCTCCTCTTCCGAATCATAGAGAGGGCAGTTGCCCGGGTCTTCCTGTAGAGGCTGCGCGGCAATGCGTTCTTCGACGTCGAGGGCGTTTGGACGAGAGAAGCCACGCGCTTCATCTTCGCCGCTGTCTTGATGTGCAGCATTGGCGTCACGTTCTCGATCACGGTCATATTCATTGAGGGCGTCTCTTGCTGCTCGCAGACGGTTGAGGTGCTTGTCTTCTTCCTCTTCCTCTTCGTAATCGTCCTCTTCTCTTGGTGTTGTCTGGTCAATGTCATTGTTGTTCTGCTCGTCTTCCGACTCATCGTCGTCCATTGGGTCGTCACTGGTCGAGTAGCTTGCTGTTTGCCCTGGCCTTTCGATCCCGAATCGATGTGTGATTGGTTTTCGGATATCCACATCCATCTGAGGCATCCAGAAAGGAAGAAGGTGAATGCGGTCTGGAAAGAGAGTGGCGGTTCCATGAATAAATTTGCTGAACTTCGGTACCGCTTCAACAAGATGACTTGCTGTAAGATCACGAATCCACTGCGGTGGTTCTTGTCCTGCCTGGGTTTGCAGCTTGACTTCCAACACTGCATATGGGAATCTTTCGACATCTTCTGGTGGCAATTGGCTGAAAGGCCAGTCAATGCCGATATCCATCCTTCTCCAATTCTTTCCAGCTCGTTGTCGTCCGTCGAGATTATCTTCCCGTGTCATCGTAAGTTCAGTATCCAACGAGATTCTGACCCGAGCGTCCCCTGGCAGCTGAAAGGCAGTTCTATGATAAAACGACCGCGTCACGGGAACCAATTTTCGGGTAATGACCCTGTACTGAATCTCCCTTGCCAGTTGTTCTAGCTGCTCAATCTCTTCTATGCTCTTCTTGCCATCCTTTCGCATTTTCGCAAATGCTTCCTCAACAGCGAGTTTGCCCGCTAGAAATGCATTGACATTTTTCTCCTTCAAGGTGAAACGTGCCTTGACTGATTTCTCGCCGGTCCAGTCTTCTCTGTGTGTCTTTCTTTCAACAAAAATCGTTTCATTCTCCATTCCACCGTACCATCGTAACCGGATAGCTTCGGCGCCCTCTGTCTTCTGCAGTCTGCCCATGTACAGTTCCCATGTCTCCGGATTGTCATAGTAGATGGATGAGATTGCCGAGTCTTTCTCTTCAAACTCTTTGTTGGGGTTGAAGACGAGGACAGGTAAGTGCTTGAGGACAATCAACTTGAGCTCCGTGATGTTGTCCCTGTGTACCCAGTATTTGGTTGTCTGCCGCACGAAGTTTTGCTGTCCACCACCAGCCGCGCTATCACCCTTGATGGGATTTCCCCGCGTTCTAACCAGATCATAGAGCTTCGAAAGAGTAACGATAAAAGCATCGTAGTTGTCTTGGAAGAAAGGTTTCGCTCGCAAGCGGGTCGCGAAGGAGGGTTTCAGGTGCCACTCCGTCAGCTTATCATGTTTCTTGATGATCTTTTGGAAGCCGGTATAATTCAGCTGCGTATATTTGGCGAGGTCATGAACATCTGCGATGATGTCGCTCAGATCCGCCTCCAGCAGCTCGAAGTCTTCCTCAAGATCCGGATCTTGTTTGTCCTTTGGCTTGTTGGAACGGTCCTGCTTCTCGACCACCATCTTGACCTCCCTCTCACTGGCCTTGATCCTTCGAACGATTTCTTCGCTCTTCAGCTTCTGAAACGTGAAGACCTTGTCGAGTTCCCCCTCCAGCTGCTGGACAAATGCCTTCTCATCGTCTTCGTTCCAAGGTCTGCGCTCGGGGGAGGGATTGCTGTCTGATGGCTCGCTAACGTATGGTGTCCTGAGGGCATCTTTGAGGTCGTCGTATGCTATGTAGTGCCAATAATAGTCTTTGATTAGTGATGATCGCAATTGTTGTCCAAACCTAACTGGTGTCAGTGCTGGAATACAGATTGCATAGTGAGTGTGCGGGGTTGGTCAGCTTACTTCATGTTTGCTGCAAGACGAGACAATGAAAAGGTACCTGATATTAGATTATGACGGCGTCATATGTACATACTACTACACCGTCTTTGTACACAAGCTTTGCGAGGTAGCATACAAAGTAACCGCTAGGTCACGTTATATAGAAAGGTCTTGGAAGCTCATCTCAAGTAAGAGCCCCCTGACCAATCGGACAAGAGCCAAAAGCCATGTGCGATTTCCTTTCAAGGCAAGTAACAGAACGAAGGCAGTATTCTTTGGTTGGCATGGACACCAATTATCTATTCATTTCCTCCCAATACTCGTATCAACCCTCGCAATAGCCCATGCTGCTACAAATACACCAAACACCCCCACAAATATTGTCAACGGCTTTCTAAATGCTGCCAGATATGGATAGTCGTAGACGACCACCAGACTGGCTTCTCTCGCCTCGTCGACCAAATTCATTGCAGTTAATTTCAGCGCCGTTCTTCCAGTGGTATCCATGAAAGTCTTGTGCAAAGACACCTCTGACTGCAGAGTAGGCAGACCGGTTCCCCCAACCAACTCCCATCGGACATTTTCTGCACCTTCTGGTAGTATGACTCGGACCTGTACGTGTTCGTATTGAATGCCTTCTTGCATCTTCGGCCCTTCCAGGAAAGGTACGCTAAGGATGTAAGTATGATCTGTTTTCAATTTGCGCAAGAAGCTCCCTAAATGATTGTTCCAGCCGATCCGGAAGCTGTATTTCCAGCCACCAAATACAGGGTATCTTGGTTTAAGCTCGAGTGATGCATCGCGAAGCCTATTTGGCCGGTAACGGCTAGTGGAGACGTTTCCGATGTCGTCCGTGAAATATGGATCAACACTGCCAGGCTTGAGCGGCACCTTAAGCTCCCTCAGTGCAGAGGTTGGACCATTGTAGTAGCTCTGAGTAGCCCATTTGATACGACTGAAATTGTCTGACAATGTCGCAGCATCGTTTCGCAGCCAGTATCGTTCCTCAATTGCCAGGTTTCCACCCCAGTGTGAGACCTCGATATCGCGCTCCAGTAAGGAACAAACCAGGACTGGTTTCGTGAACTCGTATCGGATGGATACAGGATGAGCTGTCCCCGGAGGGATATCTTCTGTTTCATAGGGTCCATAAGTGAAAGATGTTCCCTGTTTTTCAGGATCTGAGCCACTCTTCAAGCCAGCAGTTGTTGTGTACTCTGGTACATCTGTGGTGGGAAGTTTAAGTTTCGTTTTCTGCTTAAGGGTTGTATAGACAGAGAGCACGTATGCGGAAAACGAATAGGTAAGGTATTGGGTCTCATCTTGTCTAATGTTTGCAGGAAGCGGCGTAAGGGAAGAAAGGAAGTGGTAGGAGATTGCTAAGGTCAGTTGAGCCTTGGACGGCAGGGGTTCGGGAAATCGAATAATGTAGTATTGTGTTGATCTACATGCCATTAGAGATGGTCTGTCATGATGAGAGGACACCAACTTGGTGGGAGTGCCATCCTCTCTGAGCACTGCACTCATAGCCGCCATTCGCACATCGAATCTGCCCTTTTCTGTGTTTTTCTTGTCCCTTACTTCGATACCACCAACTTTGGCAATGACATCGTATTCGAAAGGGAGATAGTACTCCGATTGAGACTCTTTGTCCACATTCTCGATCACGACATTGATGGTCTCTCTAACGTAGCCTTTGTCGAGATTCGTATTTCGCACCAGGTTAAGGTTCTGAAAGACTGGTGGTGGTTTGAAGTCGCTACGCAGAACTTGTTGCGACGTTGGAGGAGATGTAAAATTCAAGTCTGACAAGCAGAAGCTGCAGGCGATGAGGCTGTAGACAGCAGTCACCAGAGACAGCTTCATGCTGACAACTCCTGAACTGCTTTCAGAGCATTGAATAATGAATGCTGCAAGTGTCGTGAAGGCCAAAAATGCTTGATGCCCCAGCTGTCGCTATGAACTACGGTTGGTCACACCACGACCTTACGCAGTATTAAACATTTGCTAGCCGTTAGGCCAGGTTTTAGGCTAGGTTAGATTAGGCTGAGCCCTGAGATTGTTGAGCAAGGCCCTGTAAACCTGATAAGCTGCCAAGGGTTCACTAAAGGCCCGCCAAGAGCTTCATAAGAAACCTTAATTTGTTATATACTTTGTGATAAATACAGTACCACGTCAAAAGTATTGGATCGACGCGCACTTTTTTCCAACACGCATTTTTTACTACCCTTTTCAACCAACCACCATGAATCAACGCAGGGCTTTGGCGCCTCTAGAAATCAACAGGAGCTATGGCAAGGAGCTATCTCCATTTCAACGCGGTCAGATTTCAGCTTACAAGGCTGTGGGGCTGTCAAATGCAGAAATTGGCGAAAAAGTTACTTGCGACAAATCCACTATTTTCAACACCCTCGTACGAAATCCACTCCGCAACAAAGGTAATAGCTTGCTACATTTTGGTAGACCCCCTACATTAAATCGCGTTTAAAAATAAGACGTTCTATATATTATTTAAGTTAATTCAAGAATTACTTATGCAGCTCTTTGACTTGCTCTTAAAGTATCTGTTTTAAAAAGCACTCTTTATTAAATAGTTAAAGACAAAGGCATTACTAATTAGCTTATTAAAAAAAGATCTTTTTTAACTTTTAAAGTAGTTGCTAAACACCTTATGTCGAGCAACACAGCTTCAACCTCCTTCCAGGGCAGCGCGAACTGCCGCAACTGCCAAGAGGATTTGGCTGTACATGTACAGCCAAATCCCAAAGCGGCTTAGCGCCACTCTAGTGCGTCACGTGCCCTGATTTCCTGTGCCATGGCATAGGAAATCCTATTTAAGTAGTTACTAGAAAATCTAGATAAGAGAATATATAACATAACAGAGTGAGAACTTTAACAGGTTATAAGCCTAGCTTCGCGATCACTGAATAGGTAAGCAAGGAGGCAGCTCTGGCAAGCTTTACTTCTCTTGAATGAATCAGATAGGCTCTTACCTAGCTTATCCTATCCTTTCTTTAATTAAATAAGTATACTAGGCTACTAAACTATTATATTCTTTCTTTAGTACTCTTTGTTATACTTATTCTGTTTAAGCTAAACTTTATTTATACTTTATTTTATTTATTAATTATTATATAAGCTAATTAATCTTACTTATAAAAAAAAGACTTAAAATATTTAAAAAAAGCTTAAGAAGCTTCTTTATTAAGTTTATTTTATTAGAAAAAAAGAAACCTTAAATAATTAAGTTATTTTTTTATATTATATTTAGTTTATCCCTTGTGAGTCCGATTAAATCCCTGT